ATACCTGCAACCCGACTAGGGGGTTACCTATTTAAACTCTCTGTGCCTATGTGAGTTACCTTCTAACCGAGCGAGAATCTAATTGGACCCCTTATTTTCAGACACCCGGCTTAGGAATCAATGTTGATTTTCTAGTGGGTAACAGAGATTAAATTATTAGAGAAATATTTGCGAACTTTTCTGACAATGATATTATTATTATTATAGCTAAGTAGCCAGGGTTGTGATTTTTTGGAGATGTGTATATTGTATGCAAAGGTGTTGATATCTGGTTGTTGGTATTGAGGTAATAAGGTACAGTAATAATTATGAGACATTACTTTATCCTCTAGGTATGTGTACCAATTTGGTTGCTTGTCTTTAGGTAGATAGAGCAGTCTGGGTGAGAGGTGTTTCCATTCTAGGAGAACAGAATTATCAGCTGAGAATAGTTGTTCCAGATAGAGCAAATTTAGGCATCTAAGTTGTTTTTTAATTAGGTTGTATTTAGAGTGTTGTTGTAAAATCTTTTCCAGAGGTTGTAAGTTGTATTGAATAGTATAAGGCCATTGAAAATTAAAGTTTGCTATAATTGATGTACCTAAGTGGGTGAGAAGTTGGATAATTTGGAAATTGAGTGTATATTTGTTTGGTCTGTCTATAGTTGGATGTGAATGTTGGAGTATATTGGTAGTTGATCACAAATTATTTTGCAATTGCTGTATTCAAATACGACTAGATAAACCTAATAGGTGTGGATTATTAATCCATTGTAGGAAGTTAGTAATATGAAGTTGAAGCTAAATATTCCAAATGTTTTTAATGTTATATAGATAGAGATTAAGCATAGTGCTATTTGGAATAGATCAAGCAAGATGTGATTTGTATTTAGCTACAGTAAGATATTTAGAAAGGATTTGATTACAAGTAGGCTGTGAGAGTATAATATTGTGTAATCTGTACTCTAAAGTAGGGATAATAACAGTATTAATAATATATACTATCTGCTTGTCTGTGATCTTTTTGGAACTAGCAATGTTGATAAGTTGAAATGCTTCATCTTTAATAAGTTGAGTTTGTCATGATTGTTTATTATCAAGAGTATACCAGCAGTCTAGGAACTTAAATGGTTAGTTATAAGGTATAGAGTTTAGTAGAGAGTTGCAGAAGGAAATAGAGTTTGTAAGTTGATTACAGATAAATATAGATTTAGTAGAATTAATTTGAATATTAGCCATTTGGTAAAATAATATAGCAGTCTGAATAATGAGTTGGAGTTTCTTTTTGAATTGGGCAATCCAAAGTGTATCATCCATGTATGCAAGTACTGAAGTAGAAGTTTGGGTTTTTTGGTGTTGTGGAGGGTGTAAGCTAGTTTGCCAAGAGGCAGTTAGTATATAGCCTATGAAGTGGGTTGCGATTCTACTAATAAGAGAGTCATAGTAGATACGCCAGAACAGAGGGTTATAGTTTCCCTTTGATCAATCCCATTGTTAACAGAGTATGAGTTTGTGAGACCAAGATTTGTGATAACTCTATTGTAACGGTCAGTTAATAGATTGGTGAGTATGTGTATGAGTTTAGAAAGTATATTAATATGTAAAAGAGATCTTTGGAATAACTCTAAATTGATAGAGTTATATGCTTTGCTTATATCTTGAGATATAAGCCAGAGTTGTTTAGAGTTACAAAAAGCCTCTTTAATAATATTGTTGAGGATATGGATAGGAATAGTTGTACCATACAGTGTGGACCATAGTATCCCCATATCAAAGTACCCCCTTAAAAAAATTCGCAGTAGAATATAAAGTACCTGGGTATTTTAAAAGGAAAGTAGATTCGTGGTTTGTAAAATACCCAGATATTTGCTATATAAAATACCCGGTATACCAACTATGCAAAATATCTAAATATTATATATTCTTGACTTTTACTAAAACACACCTATATTATCTCAAAAACCGGCTAATTAATCAGTTCAAGATGTCCTAAGTAAAAATGCTCTATGAATCTAAAAATCCTTTCCAAACACAAACTCTAACTCTAAATCCTAATATTATCGTGTTGAAAATTTTTATATTCGAAACTTAGAAAAATCTTAAAAGCATAATTAAACATATGATACCATGTAGTTGATTAAAAGCAAAGTTTTTTATTTAACAACTTTTTATATCAAGCCATATAGTATGCATATACAAATAAGCTTTATACTCAAATTGAACCAATCAAATATTGAAAAATACAATATTATATCATTCTAAATCATTATCCTCTTCGTTATCTTCACCTAAATTAATATTTTCAAGATTATTTTTGAGAATATTGATTTCTTGAGATTCTACTAAACGGTTAACATATTCATTCTCATCAGCATAATATTCTTTTTCCTCATCCTCTGAAGCTTCATATGTACCAGTATTATCCATTTCTATATCTTCATCCAATTCCGTAACTTCATCCAATTCAGTAGCTTTATCTAATGCTGTAATTTCATTTTCCTCAGATCCTAATCGATCTGCTTTTTCTAATCGTTCTACTCTATCATAATCAAATAAAAGATCATCTTCAGAGCCATCTGTTTTAATAGAA